TTGCTTTCAAACTAGCCTGTTATAAGTTTAATATATATAATTATTTTCTCCCAAAACTCTTTCACAATAGAACTCTCCCACCAACAATGAATAAAAGAGCCTCTGGCCCCACACAGCCTCCAACAAAGTGGTGAGTATGTTGGTGTTATATGGGTAATTTTGCTGGGAGTGGTGTACCACCTCATCATTATCTTATATCCTTGAAGGCGAATATTAATAGACTTAGATGAGAGTGATTGGGATGCCCAGATTTTAGAAAGTTAGTTTGCAACAGATTGTTCATATTAAGTGGGAGTTTAATATCTAAATAGGTCAAACTTTTCGACACCCAGGTAAACTGATAATCCATTCTAATGGAAGCCTGCTGTGATGGGGTTAAATTAATAGAATAAATCAATGTCTTGGTGGGGTTTGCTTTTAACCCTGATACTAAACTAAACTTTAAAAGTAACCTTTGCAATTCTGGCAGTGATTCCTCTGGATGTGTTAACGTCAGACCAATGTCATCAGTGAATAAAAGAAGTTTTAAAGTTTTTGGCCCCACTTTAATACCGTAAATTTTGTTGTTTTCCCGCACTGCTTGGGCAAACGGCTCTATGGCTGTAGCAAATAACAAGGCATGTTACAAGGCAAATAACAAAGCAAGTAACAAATAATAATGACATAGGGCACCCTTGTTGTGTGCCTCTTGCTAAAGTAAATGTTGGCCATATTTTTTTTATTAAGTTATTTAATCCTCTGAAATTCAGAGATAAATTTAATGGTCTCTTTATCCATTTTCCCCTCTAAGGGCATGAGGTTCATTAAAGAATACCTCTAACTTATGACACTTGTGAGCGGTTGGAATTAAAGAATTTAGGGAGGCCACTCTTGTCATATGAAAATCAAAATTTCTTGCCAGATTCATTACATTCTCTTTTTTTTGTTGTAAAACTCTCCTAAACAGGAGAGAATTTTATTACTTTTAATTTAAGAAAGAGGGTGGGTATATAGCGGGAGTAAGAAAAGAACAAGTGGTGTTAGTATTAGTATATTAATCTTTTGTTAGTAATAATCCAATCTTCTTTGGCTTCTCCCGTGAGATGATCGATCGTCTTTCATCGTATCCTGTAGAGAATAAAAGTGTTAATACATTAGTAGTGTCCCTTTGGTTTATTGTTAATAAAGTCTCTTCTTGTGCTTCACGAACCAGTCCTCATTTTCTGGGCATCCTTCCTTTCACGTCTCTCAAGTTGTAAGATGAACCTTCTCCTGCTCTTTCTTCTTCCGGCTTTTTGGCCTCCCTCTCCAAGTCACTGTCCTCTTCACTTCCAACTTTCTCCCATTTAGCAAGTGCTGCTTCCTTTTACATTCTTATACAGATTGTAGTTACATACATTACCATACATTATGGTCTGCAATTTTTTTATAACATTCGAATCCAACTTAGTAAAGTCAGACTGACGCACCGTGGCATTTCTTGAAGGTCCAATTTCTAGTCCTTTGGAACTGCTTAATAAGAAAGATAAGTTCACCAAAATAAAATGCAACACAACTAAAATTCGTAGAATTAGCAACCCAATCCTACGTTCCCTTACCCTCAGGGAAAATTTCCGCAACATTTTAACGGGGATCATGAAACAAAAAATTAATTGTACCTATTAGAAATCTTAGGAAAAGTTATTAACTGGGCTAGAACAGGTAAACACTTCTCCCCCTTTCCCCTTATAAACATTGTATGAAGATTAGATAAACTACAGCCGCATATATTGCATGCCATTTTTACTGTTGAGTTTCCATCCAGGTTTTGAATCTGTAAAGTCAATCTAAGCTTGTTCTTCTAAGTCAGCTTATCTATTGCGACATCTTCTCGGTCTTTGCCAGGTGAACTTGTTGTGTGGCCTTTCAATTTATAGGCTCTTGAGGCTCCAAATGCAAAGCTTTTAAAAGGACTAAACCTGAGTCCAGGTCAGATGCATTCAAAACATGATCCTGATATAGCACTTGTAGTCTGCAATAGGATACCCACTTGTATTTGATGTTGGCCTTGGTCAGACTAGAAGTGATGGGTTTTAGCATTCATCTTTTAAGCAATGTTTCAGAAGATAGGTCCTGTAAAACCAAAATTTTGGCTTCTTTGAATAGTAGGAAGCTTTTTTGTCTAGCCTGGGCCATTACTGAGTTTTTATCACTGAGGCTGGCAAAACTTACCACAATATCTCGTGGCCACGCTCGGGGTGACTGTTGTTTCAGAGGCCCTACTCTATAGGCATAGTCCAATACAGGCACAGCTTCAGGTTCCTTTTGTAGTATCGTTGCCAGCCACAAGGCTATAAAAGTCAGGAGCTCCTTGTTTTCCTCCGCCTTTTCAGGGAGGCCTCGAAATTTAAGGTTATGGGCTCACAGTTGGTTATCTAAGGCCCCTGCCACACGGGGGGGGGGATGGGCAAAGTGCGGCTTTTGAAAGCCGCACCAAAATATTTAGGCCCAGCTGAAAGTGATGACTAAGGCCCCTGCCACACGGGGGGGGGGGAGCATGGGCAAAGTGCGGCTTTTGAAACCCGCACCAAAAGAGACACGCAGCAGCGGGATCACATAGATCCCCTGAGCCACGGCACAGTTCCTCCCCGGCACGATCAGAAGCCGGGGGGAAGCCACTGAAGAAACAGCGTGGCAGTCGAACTGCTTTCCCAGCATCAGGGTCTTTTCCAGGGAGTGCTCCCTTCTCATTTGGTGGCCAAAGTATTTGAGCTTCAGTTTCATTATCTGGCCTTCCAGGGAACAGTCAGGGTTGATTTCTTTGAGGATTGACTGATTTGTTCTTCTTGCAGTCCAAGGGACTCTCAAGAGTCTTCTCCAGCACCATAGTTCAAAAGAATCTATTCTTCGGCGCTCGGCCTTCCTTATAGTCCAACTCTCGCAGCCATACATGACTACTGGGAATACCATTGCTTTGACCATGTGGACTTTAGTTGGCAGGGGGATGTCTCTACTTTTTATCATGCTGTTTAGGTTCGCCATCACTTTCCTCCCAAGGAGCAGGCGTTTTTTAATTTCATGGCTGCTATCACAGTCTGCGGTGATCTGGGATCCCAGGAACGTGAAGTCTGTCACTACTTCCACTACTTCCCCTTCTATTTGCCAAAGAGTGATGGGGCCGAATGCCATGATCTTAGAGAAGTAGATATTTTTCTGGTACTCTCTTGCTTTCTCCATAATCCAGCGAATGTTGGCAATTTGATCTCTAGTTCCTCTACCTCTTCGAAACCCAGCTTGTACTTCTGGTAGTTCTCTATCCACGTACTGTTGAAGCCTAGCTTGTAGGATCTTGAGCATGACCTTGCTAGCGTGTGATATGAGTGCAATTGTGCGATAGTTTGAACATTCCTTGGCATTGCCCTTCTTTGGGATTGGAATGTATACTGATCTTTTCCAATCCTGTGGCCACTGTTGCGTTTTCCAAATTTGCTGGCAAATGGAGTGCAGAACTTTAACAGCATCCTCTTCTAAGACTTTGAATAGCTCAGCTGGAATACCATCACCTCCACTAGCTTTGTTGTTAGTAATGCTTTCTAAGGCCCATTTAACTTCACATTCCAGGATGTCTGGCTCAAGGTCAGTGATTATACCGTCGTGTTTGTCAAGGACATTGAGGTCTTTCTTGTATAGTTCTTCTGTGTATTCTTGCCATCTTTTCCTAATCTCTTCTGCTTCTGTTAGGTCCCTACCGTTTTTGTCCTTTATCATGGCCAGCTTTGCATGGAACGCTCCCTTGATTTCTCCAATTTTCTTGAAGAGATCTCTAGTCCTTCCCATTCTATTGTTTTCTTCTATTACTTTGCACTGTTCATTCAGGAAGGCCTCCTTATCTCTCCTTGCTGTTCTCTGGAAATCTGCGTTCAGTTGGGTAAATCTTTCCTTTTCGCCTTTGCCTTTCGCTTTCCTTCTTTCCTCTGCTATTTGTAAAGCCTCATCAGAAAGCCATTTTGCTTTCTTGCATTTCTTTTTCTTTGGTATGGTGGTGATTGCTGCCTCCTGTACGATGTCACGAACCTCCGTCCATAGTTCTTCAGGCACTCTATCTATCAAATCTAAACCCTTGAATCTATTCTTCACCTCTACTGTATATTCATCAAGGATGCGATCTAGGTCAAACCTGAATGGCCTAGTGGTTTTCCCAATATTCTTCAGTTTAAGTCTGAATTTTGCAATGAGTAGCTCATGATCTGAGCCTACAGCTCCAGGTCTTGTTTTTACTGACTGGATAGAGCTTCTCCATCTTTGACTGCAAATTATATAGTCAATCTGATTTCGGTGTTGCCCATCTGGTGATGTCTATGTGTAGAGTCGCCTCTTAGGTTGTTGGAAAAGGGTGTTCGCTATGACCAGTGTGTTCTCTTGACAAAACTCTGTTAACCTTTGCCCTGCTTCATTTTGCTTTCCAAGGCGAAACTTGTTTGTTATTCCTGTTACCTTTTGACTTCCTACTTTAGCATTCCAGTCCCCTATGATGATGAGGACATCATTTTTTGGTGTTAGTTCTAGGAGGTGTTGTAGGTCTTCATAGAACTGGTCCACTTCAGCCTCTTCTGCATCAGTGGTTGGTACATAGACTTGGATTACTGTGATGCTGAATGGTTTGCCTTGGAATTGGACGGAAATCATTGGGTTATTGTAAGAATAAAAAATGGGGGGGGGGACGATGTAATCCTCTTTGGGTCTCCATTGGGGAGAAAGGTGAGATATAAAGTAATTTTAACAAATTAAAAAATTAAAAACCTGTCCCCTAGATCTTCTAACAACGCAATCAAGGCAGTTTCTTCTGCTGCTTCTGTACTACAGGTTGGCATTAATCATGTTAATACTGTGGGTATGATGGCGTAATTTGTGCCTGGAGGACCACATTCCTATAGTGCTTGGGTATGCTGTCAGAAGGCTTGCCTCGTATGTGTCCTTAATAAGTGGAGAGTATAAAAGGATGTCTGAAAGAGAGAAGCAGCAACACCTCTTGAGAAAAAAAAAGCGGGCCATCAGTCAAACAGCATTCAACTCCCCGGAGTCCTCAGAAGGATACCAAGACCAAGAAGGAGAATTATGTGGATACGGGCAATATTGGTAGCTGTGCTGGTGTGTCTCCTGATTCTACACCTTCTGAAACTGCTCCGAACGAACAAGAAGTACCCTCCCGGGCCTCCTCTATATATAACAGCTGCAAAGTTTATAAAGGCTGGATTCCAAGTTCATCCTGACATGCTCGCTGAGGTACTTTTTTTCTAAATAATTAATAGGCAAAAAAAAAAAAGACAGTGAGCCAACAGTGCCCTGCAATCTATGGCTCTGGGAACAAATGTTGCTCAGTACAAAGCAACCTATGGCACTTTTAAAAAGAAAACAAAACCTTTAAGTTAAGGTACGTTGGAGGGAACTGTGGTATGCTAGAATCATCAGTATTGATTTATTTATTTAGATGTATTTGTTCGATTTATATCCCGCCCTCCCTGCGAGGCAGGCTCAGGGCGGTATGAATGAATGAATGAATTTATTATGAATGAATTTATTATTACAGCACATAGCCAGCAATATAAAACCATACCTGCAAATATTTATCATATAAATAGATTACAATGTCAAAAGTGTCCAGATGGTGAATCTATTAATATAAAACAAAGTTAAATAGAAATAAAATCGTACAAGCAATTTAAACTCTAAAACCAAAATACAGTGTAATAATGGACAGAATTTAGTCTTAAGAAAGATAAAATAACAAGAATAAAAAGATCGATTAGATTAAAAACAAACAGCCCTAACCAAAGTGGCTGCCTGGACGCTGATGAGCTCTTACAACCAAAAAACAAAATTTCGCTATCCGATGTAGCGCTATATGGTCAGAATTTGAAAGCAATTTCTCTATCTTGCCCTGATCTGAGGAGCCAACCAAGAGAGGGCCAATAATTTGGGGAGAACTTCGTTATATAATGGGAATCTCAGGAACACATGTTCCTGAGATTTGATCTCCCCAGACGCACACATACATAGCCTCTCATTTCGGGGAGTTTTCTTGAATTTGCCCTCAAGAACTGCAGAAGGTAAGGCAGAGCATCTAGCCAGAGTATACGCCCTCCTAAGTTTATTTGACTCCAAAACAGATAAGTATGGAGCTTGAGCAACAATATATTTACTACTGTATGGCGCTAAAAAGGCAGGGGTCGCCTGTACATCCAGTTGGCGTTCGATGTCTTTAATCCTCTGCCTGACCACTAGCTTAGCTTGATCGCCACCCCTTTCCAAAAGCTCTTGGGGGGGAAACCCTAGTAGCGTAATTTTCCGAATAGTATAGGTCAGCCATTCAGATTGGTAACCGTCAGTCAGGATTAAAGGCACAAGGCCACATGGATTTAGATTTATCTTTAACCAGAAAAAAATAGAGTGCAAGGTGATCTTGGCTTGTTCAGGGCGGGATGTGAAGGAAATGGGAGGGAAAGATTTTTAGGGATCCAAAACAGAGAAACGACAAAGCAATCCAAGTGTGGACCATGCACAGATATATGCTAGAGAGCAAAAATAATCACACAGGGTGGTCCTGTGGTTAGTTATTAGGTATTTTGAGATCTCGTATGTGCCACATCCTAATAAAGGACTCCCATCAACTAATATTTTGGGTTGCAGAAACTTTGTTGGTTATTAATAAACATGGGGTTTTTAGTGATGTTAGTGATGCGGTGGCGCAAGTGGTTAAGATGCTGAACTGCAGGCTGTGGAAGGTCAGTAGTTCAGCAGTTCGATACCCGAGTGTGCCGCATGACGGAGTGAGCTCCTGTCTCTAGTTCCAGCTCCTGCCAACCTAGCAGTTCGAAAGCAAGAAATTGCAAGTAGATAAATAGGTACCACTTCGGTGGGAAGGTAACAGCGTTCCGTGCGCCTTGGTGTTTAGTCATGCCGGCCACATGACCACAGAAACGTCTTCGGACAGCGCTGGCTCTGCGACTTGGAAACGGATTCGACTGGCTTTCGAGCAAGGGAACCTTTACCTTTACTTCTTTAATTGTAAAAGGTCGCCAACCCCTGAATCAAGGTAACAAAACCCAATGGCAATGGCAATGCATGAGTCTTTTCTTACCCCCCCCCCCCCCGCCCCATGCCTTACCGTCTGGTTTTTGAAAGATCAAAAAGGATTCGGCCTCCAAGGAGACAGGAAGAGTCGAAAGGGATTAGGAGTGATTCAGCTGGTCATCAATTGGATCTTGCAGCAGAAAGGACTGAGCTGCCTCCCAGAGTGTTTTCACAATAACACTGATGACGCAGGTGTTTCCAGAGAGCTTTCCTGATTGTGGGACTTGCCTGACCTGATCCTCTTTCCTATGAGAGGAAGCAAGTGCAGATTTGGTGCTTTCTGATACAGTCAGCCTATATAGTGTAGTAGGCCGAAACTGCATCTAGTATTTACTCCGCTGTCTTACCAAAACCCACACTGGAACAGAAATTCCCATCTACATTGCATGCCACTTTCACTTTGATTGATTGTCGGATTTTATAGCACCGTCCAGACTGCATGCTGCTTTCACTTCGTTTGATCTCTGGTTTTATGGTGGCCGTCTGCATAGATTTATGGCTGTTTTATGGCCATTCAGGGGTGACTCCGCAGTCAGTACAGCATTGTTCTGGGGTATTTGAATGTGGTTTTGAGCCGCATCTTTTTCTGTTCCAGTGTGGGTTTGGTACAACAACCAAGCAAATACTAGATGCCGATTGGGCCGTAGGATAAGTTTAAACCTGCCTCTCTGTGTGTTGGTACAGCGCAGTGTGAGCTTGTCATGTCCTTGTTACTAACTGGAGCGCAAGTACATGGACAATGAATTCTTCTGTCTCAATGTGTGTTACTTGCAGTATAAAAGGTAAAGGTTCCCTTGCTCAAAAGCCAGTCGAATCCGACTCTAGGGTTGCGGTGCTCATTTCCGTTTCAAAGCTGAAGAGCCAGCGCTGTCCGAAGACGTTTCCGTGGTCATGTGGCCGGCATGACTAAACACCAAGGCGCATGGAACGCTGTTCCCTTCCCACCGAAGCGGTACCTATTTATCTACTTGCAATTTCTTGCTTTCGAACTGCTAGGTTGGCAGGAGCTGGAACTAGAGACGGGAGCTCACTCCGTCTTGCGGCACACTTGGGTCTCGAACTGCTGAACTACTGACCTTCCACAGCCTGCAGTTCAGTGTCTTAACCACTTGAGCCACCACATACTTGCATACTTGCAGTATACATACCTGTAATTGTGGGAGTCCACCAAGTGCTGAAACTCCTTCAACTGAGGGCCAGAATGCATGACGTACCTGACACGTGCCAGGTCATGGGCGTGCTACCCAAATCGCAGTCAGACACCCACCGGGAGAACTCAGCTTCAGTGGCCCTCATTGGCTTGCAAGCAGGGTTCCCTCTAAACTGAGTTAGTGTGAGCTAGCTCACAGTTTTTTAGCCTCCGGCTCACACATTTTTCTCTTAGCTCAGGAAGGGATGGCTCTGGAGCAAACTAATCTATGCAGTGCCCAAATCGCTCGCTCACAGCTTTAATGCCAGGAGCTCACAAAGTAGAATTTTTGCTCACAAGATTCCACAGCTTAGAGGGAGTATTGCTTGCAAGGGGGGAGAAGGGGCTTCTGCTTTCCATCTCGCCCCAGTTTTGCTCCACACGGAGCCATAGAAAAGGAGTGGAAAGTGCCCCTGTGGCTGTTTCCACTGGCAAAAGTGAGAATAAAACTGGAAGTGCTTCCCTCCTGCCCTCCCCTTGCAGAGCTCCCTCGAGCAACGCTCCCTCAAAGTTGTGGGGTCTTGTGAGCAAAAATCCTACTTTGTGAGCGACTGGCATTAAAGTTGTGAGCGAGCGATGTGGCTGCTGCATGAATTAGCTTGCCCAGGAGCCCCCTCCCTTCCTGAGCTGAGACAAAAATGTGTGAGCCGGAGGCTAAAAAACTGTGAGCTGACTCACACTCACTCAACTTAGAGGGAACACTGCCTGCGAGCACCAAGCAAATGAGGGCTCTGTAAAGTGAGTTCCCTCAATGGACATTTGGACCGTGAGTCAGGTGATACACTCGTGATCCAGCACATGTTGGGTATGTGAAGCCAAAGAGAAGGGTTGAAATGGGCACATCCAGCTGCTGTTTCCTCTAGCAAAAGTGGGCTGGGAGGGTAACCAGAATCTCCTTCTCCCCACTCCCAGTGCTCCTTTTCGTTGCTCAGCAAACAAGCGTTGTTTACGGTGAGTTTCCCCAACGTATGCCCGATTGAGAGTTGGGTAGCACACCCGTGACCCGGCACGTTTGGGGCGTATCGTGTATCCGGGCCCTAATTAGATTTAGTGTGTCACGTATAGGGTTGCCAAGTCCTCGCCTGTTGAAGAGCGGGGGAGTCCAGTCTTGTTCCAGGAGTCCATGCTCGCACGCAAAGTGCATGTGTGCCACAATCACGTCACCCGGAAGTGACGCAATCACGTCGGGCACGTTGGGGGCGTGGCCACAATCATCCGAGGGAAAACCATAGAGTTTTCCCTCGGATGATTGTGGCCCCGTCCCCAATGTGCCCGACGTGATTGTGTCACTTCCGGGTGATGTGCTGACGTTATGCATGTCGTGTGCTTTGGGGGTGGGGTTCCCCCGGGGCCTAATCCGCCGGCGGCGGGTAACAGGCCTCTTGGGTGGGGGTTTCCCCACCCTCCGGGGGGACTTGGCAAGCCTAGTCACATATGCTCAGTGATTAATAGTTGTGTTGGACTGCAGGCCAGGAACCAAGCCAAGGTTTTCAGGGGTAGTTGTCCTTTCAGTCTGCAGAAGAGGGAGACGGAATGCTGGACTAGATGGACCACTGGTCTGACCCAGCAGGGATTTCTGATGTTCTTGTGAAGGCCTCGGCCTCTGTGCCCTGTTGTTGGCCTTCCAGAGGAACTGGTTGGCCACTGTGTGAGACAGGATGCTGGACTAGATGGACCACTGGTCTGATCCAGCAGGACTCTTCTTATGGTCTTATGAAGGCCTCGGCCTCTGTGCCCTGTTGTTGGCCTTCCAGAGGAACTGGTTGGCCACTGTGTGAGACAGGATGCTGGACTAGATGGACCACTGGTCTGATCCAGCAGGACTCTTCTTATGGTCTTATGAAGGCCTCGGCCTCTGTGCCCTGTTGTTCACCCTCCGGAGGAACTGGTTTGCCCCTGTATGAGACAGGATGCTGGAGTTGACGAACCACTGGTCTGATCCAGCAGGGCTCTTTGTATGTTC